TAAAATTTAGGTAAACATTGACATAATAAAACGCATCTTAATTTCTTGTAACATTTTATTACAGTTTCTGTCGCAATTCATAAATATTGTATATACTTTCTATCTTATTTGGTTTAATTTTGTCACAAATAATGTCAGAATAATCACCTAAAGCCTTACTTGATTAAACGGCGAATAATCCCATCCGTTTGGACTAATGATCCGTCTAACAGATCATACGTCTAAGTATAAACACAAGACGAACTTTCTATTAATAAACCACACAAAGTCCAATTCTGCCTTTGGAAGATTTTGGAGCGAGTTATGAACTACGAAGTATTATTTTTTCCGTAGTTTGTCCTCATTCCACATTTATATTCACAGAAGGATGATGCGTCAAGTCAAAATACCCATGCAAATTCGTCTAAGTAAACAAACTATTCAAATAATTCCTGCGCATCTTGATGGACGATCTGTCAGTTTGCCCGTATATACACACAGACGAACTTGAAGACGAACTATGTTTTGCTTGCTCAAGTTTGTTCAAATAGATAATCAGTCTTTAGCATAAATCTGTAGTATAAAAACAACCCATAAGAATTCACTTGTGATGATGAACTTATGTACACGCAGCTACTTTGTTTCTATTCTAAGCTAACGCACTGTGCTCAATGCAGTTGTAACTATTTTTATAATATGGAAACAAAATAATTATGTATTTGTTGTGAATTATTGTGTTGTATATTTAACTTCTAACATCAATATCTTGATTCAATTTTAGCGTCCTCTAAAAGCAGGTGCGTGTTGTCACCATCACCAACGATGTCCTCATTTAGAAAATGTAGGACATTTTGTTAACAGCGAAATACAAAGAATTTCGCATTTTCTTTATTTCGAATACCAAGTAGGCCCTGAGAAAGTGCTTGCAAAACATTAGGAATCGAAACATTCCTAGTAAATTTTAATCTAAGCAATTTTAAATCAACTTTTTGGTGAGGATACTTTGTCACACGTACGTCTGTTTGAAAATGGATTTTTACTCATCCTCCCCCGGTAGTTGCTTTAAGTTTTTATAACAGGAGAGCCAACGGTGCATCAAACTTGCATGGGGCCCTTCCAAACCAAATCTTGAGCCTCCCTTGATCACCACACGTTGAAAACAAAACATCAACTTGACACCTGACGAAAGCACTCAACCTTTCTTCGTAATGTGTATAATGTAATAATTACAAGAAATATAATGTCGTAATTACAGTAAGTATAATGTAATAATTACAATGTAATGTTTCGTGCAGGGATTTCTGTCTTCCTTTGGCGCTATTATAAGGCAGTATAGAAATGAAAAAATGACTTTGCTGTATGCGGGCCCCTCAAAATGACAAAACCTATAAATAAATTTCCACTGCTGTGGTTGCACCAATACATCAAACTGTTCATGTAAACCAGGGGTCTCCAAACTTTACAGCCATAGGGCCACATGAACTTTCATCCAGCATGTTGAGCGGCCGACGAACCGTGTACCGCTGGTGAAAGAGCGAATATTTTAATAAAACGAAGTACTAAAGTAAATGGTTTGAACCCGGGAGTATCGTTATATGTTTGTAAATGATGATCGTCCAGGTTAATAAAGTCCTGAGAAGGAATGTTTTTGATGTTGTTGACTGACGTTTCGACAACCTTAGCGGTAGTCATCTTCAGAGTCAAATGAGGAGTAAACGTCAGGTTAGCCGTATTTGTTGTCTGGTTCTTACGTCATTGTATTGTGTGTACAGGAAATGTGCAGGAAATGTGTATTGTCATTGTGGATTAGTGTGAAGTGAAATATTTTATTTTTAGTTGTGATGTGTGATTTAGGTGTGACGTTTTAGTTGTAGTGTGTGGGTGTCAATTGTGTATTGTCATTGTGAATTAGTTTGAAGTGTAATGTTTTTAGTTGATCGTTTGTTTGTATTGTGAATAAGTCGTTTGTAAGGTGCCGGTAATTGCTGTGATCTGTTCAGGGGGGTTTGTTCCAAGTTGGTATACCAACTTTCTAATGTAAGCCGTTGTCTATAGTCAGTACTGTAAGTGATGCATTTTGCCGAGTCCCAGTCAATGTTGTGCTTTGTGATTCGGTGATGTTCGGCAATGTGATTAGTTTTGTCTTGTTTCTTAGTAGCTCGTTTGTGCTCAGTAAGTCTTATGTTTAAGTTCCTGCCAGTTTCCCCGATATAGGAGGCGTGGCAGTCGGAGCAGTTTATTTTGTAAACTGCACCTTGTCGTTCGTTGGGTTGTTCTTTGTCCTTTATGTTCGTTAGTACTTGTCGTAATGTTGTGATTTGTTTATGTGCTACACGTATGTTGTATGGTCGTAAGATACGCGAGATAGTCTCAAACGTACCTTTGATGTAAGGTATCGTTGCTGTTGTCACTGAGTTGTTCGTTTCGTTGGGTTCGTTGGGTTTGTAAGTGTTGCGTTTGATAAAGTCAGAGTTATAGTTGTTTTGTCAAAACACGTTTGAGATAGTTGTTTTCGTTTTGTAGAGCGTCCGGTGAATCACATATGATTTGTGCACGTCTTGTTAATGTTCTGATTGTGGTGGCTTTGTGTGATGTAGGGTTGTAAGATGATTGGTCTAGTAGTCGGTCAGTATGTGTTGGCTTGCGATAAACTGTTGTTCCTAGTTTTTGATTGTCATGTTTTACCAAACAGTCGAGAAAAGGAAGAGTTCCGTTTTCTTCGACATCTTTGGTAAATTGTATGTGGCTGTTCTGTTTGTTGATGTGAGTATGGAAGTCATCAATCTCGTCTGCATGTAGTGCTGTGATTGTGTCATCTACGTAGCACCATTATGTTTGTAAGTAACAAGGTCTTGACGCATCGCTCTTTTACAGAAGTAACAGGCAATGGTGCCATTTTTGTCATGCAGTATGTGTTCCTGTATATTGGAAAAATATAGAAGACGGACAAGTTCGTGTCATTCTGACGATCCTCCTGTACTGGTTTGCTTTCTAGACGTGTGCTTTATTTCTTCTAGGGTGGGATGGTAGGTGTCGGCTGTACAGCACAAACGCTTAAAATCGAGTGCTAAACATTCCGTTGACTCAATTTGCATAGGTCCTACCAATAGGGCGGTAGTCGTGGAACTTGGCAAAGACGCATACGTTAGGTTTTGAGAAGGTGTGTGAACTGGTTCGGTCGGCGGCGCGACTAGTATCTCTGAAGACGATGTAGAGTCAGATTCGTGAGAATGAGGAGATAAACACGTTGATGGAGTTTCTGTAGCTGACGGCAGTGTCAAATTAGACCTAGAGTCGATGTTTTGGTCAACAACGTTCTCTGCTGGAGCACTACTAAAAAAACTCGTCAGTTTTCGCATCCTTTAGCTGTTTCTACAAGCTCTTTTCCTTTTCTCGTTTTCGCCTAGCAGCTCTAGGCATGATGATTTTGATTAGAAGTGATTCAAACCGCAAAATTTTCAATTATTATGATTATGAATTGTCAACAGTTTTGTAGGACCAATGGCCTGAAAGACAATACGACGGGAGCAATGCGTTGCCGTAGAATTTATAGTCTCATGTGGATCATAAATTGCGACTTCTCATTGGTTAAGTTACTGGGCGGAGGCCTGCAAAGACAACCCCAATCGACAAACGCGATTTTTGATCCATCTGGGTAATCAAGATCAAAAACTAAGCTATAGCTGATTTTGCATGATGCCGACAGACTTTGTTCTACTCTCGGGGCTAATTGTATCTAAGAAAAACTTCTTCAGTCCAATTTTACCAAAACAAGGGCATTTCTATACCATGAAAAAGGGCACATTTTTCCCGGTTGCAAAAAGTGGGGGGGCACTTGCCCCCAATGCCCCCCCGGTTCCGCGGCCTCTGCGTATAGAGGACGATTGTAAAGTGGAGGCTATCCTGCTTCTGATCTCGTCTTTTGTTGCCTCTGACAAGTCTCTTTGATACGCTAGGACAGCCTCGACACTTGATACTATCGTCTCAGTCGGGATTTGTCTAGGTGTTATGGAATGTTTTAGTCCGTAAGATAGTAGTCGCGTTTCAGTTTCGTCTAATGGGCGGGAAGAAATATTTATAAGGACAAAGAACAACCCAACGAACGACAAGGTGCAGTTTAAAAAATAAACTGCTCCGACTGCCACGCCTCCTATATCGGGGAAACTGGCAGGAACTTAAACATAAGACTTACTGAGCACAAACGAGCTACTAAGAAACAAGACAAAACTAATCACATTGCCGAACATCACCGAATCACAAAGCACAACATTGACTGGGACTCGGCAAAATGCATCACTTACATTACTGACTATAGACAACGGCTTACATTAGAAAGTTGGTATACCAACTTGGAACAAACCCCCCTGAACAGATCACAGCAATTACCGGCACCTTACAAACGACTTACTCACAATACAAACAAACGATCAACTAAAAAACATCACACTTCAAACTAATTCACAATGACAATACACAATTGACACCCACACATTACAACTAAAAACGTCACACCTATATCACACATCACAACTAAAAATAAAATATTTCACTTCACACTAATCCACAATGACAATACACATTTCCTGCACACACAATACAATGACGTAAGAACCAGACAACAAATACGGCTAACCTGACGTTTACTCCTCATTTGACTCTGAAGATGACTACCGCTAAGGTTGTCGAAACGTCAGTCAACAACATCAAAAACAGTCCTTCTCAGGACTTTATTAACCTGGACGATCATCATTTACAAACATAAAACGAAGTACATAACACAAGCTTCATTAGTTAAGAAAATAGCTCCTTCCTTAGCTCAAAAACCTTTGACAGCACTTTTTCACAACTTAGCCATCTTACTGCAGTGTAATATGGTATGTAAACAGATTCTGTCTCAGTAGGAAGTTGGGACAAAAATTGACGTGAGCCACTCTTGCTAGCTGGCTTGCGTCATAACGTGAACTTTCTGCATAAAGTTTATTTTGTTTAATAATACTATTATTTTTCTTAAGTGTCTCTGCGGGCCGTAGTTTTGGAGACCCCTGATGTCAACAATGGTATGTTAGCATATTATATTACAAAAAATTATGTATGCATTTATTATATGTCCTATCTTATGTAAGGAGCACAGAATAGATATATACAGAAACGCCACTCACGCTCTCAGATTGATATTTTTGCTTTTTTTTTATAACAAAGGAAATACGCTTATAAGCTACGTACGAACATCGTTATAATTTTCATCTCCGAAAAACAAAACTCACGTGATTAGTCTTTTCACAAAAATAACATAAAGTTTCTAACAATTTATTGGCAAATTGCAGAGAAGTCGCACTGACAGTACGGATCCAAAGATAATACAATGTAAAAAACACACAGTCTTTTGAATCCCATTTAATTTTGATTCAAGTACGTATTATGAGAAGAACATCCATTGACTTCAATTTAAATTTTGAACAAAACATATCACAAGCTTATGGTGTAAATAACCACTTCTTGTCTTACAATCGACGGTTTGCAAGCTGAACGATTTTCTCTTTAAAATCTAAAGTGTAATGTCCATGGTTATGTAGAAGCACGCCATGCACATATTGGACGTCAAGTTAAGTCTCTCAATGAAACGTTAACACGCGATGAACTAGTGCTTAAATGTCTCGATGTATCGCAAGTGTTCTTGTACGAGTATTTATCATAAAAGATACAAAGAAATCAAAAGATACTGCACAGGTTCAAAGAACGTTTATCTTTTGACTTATAATAATTGGTCGATATAACTGATTTCAAGACTTAAAGTTTTTAAAAGGATAACACCTAAAAAGTCAATTCATTAAACTTATCAGCTGCACGCTCGCAATGCAAATCATAGAGAAAAACGTCACAATTATCATGAAATAAATCAGTTCTTATATATAACGATCATTTTAAATGTAGCACAGAACGATTTTGTGACTGTGATCCTTTCATTTTTGTTTTAGAATTAAAATCACGTATCGTCAATATTTATTATACAACAACGTGAACACAATCAATGTACAAAATTTTGCTTCTTTTAAATCAAATTGCGCTATCCAGAGGGAGAAATATAGCTTGTAATTTAACTTTAATCCAACTTTGACTTTTAATTTAAGTTGATCTGAAACACTTTTCTCTTTCACAATTCAACACCCCGATTTATTTTTTATGGATGTTTTATGACTGACGTACGTACGTATCCGTCCATTTTAGGGAAAATAAGAATTCATTAAACGCTCAAAATACGTAACAAACTATATAACATAGGAATTCTTGAATACGTGTGAATTGTTTGCACATTGGAAAACAACACTGTCTGGCTCGTTGTTAGATTTGTGAATTGATCTACGACGTATGGACTATGTTTCATACGTGCATAAAGCTGTCCAAGAAAGACTTAAGTACTACGAAGTACGATCCTTTACATAACCCACAAAATTTACAATAAACGCAACAATTTACAAATTGCCTAAATCATTTTTAAATGGGACAACTTAAACTGTCTAGTGTAAGTTGTGAATACATTAACGATAATTTATATATTTAGCAAACCTGGAAGGTTGGATGACTTAATTTTGCTCTGACCAGTGCTGTTCCTGTTGTTAGGCCTTCAACAATGATACTGCTGCCCCATTAAACCCTAAAAATAAACAATTTTCATGAGTTAAGTCCGACTTCGACAACAGCAATGTGGTAAACATAGAGTTTACCTCGGCTTCTAAAGCATAAATAGCAGCTGAGGTTTCATAAATTGATTCAGCAAATGGGACAATCCTAAATACAAAGTGATTAAAAAAATTTTTTAGCACTCATTATACTTATCTAACATGACAATACATTATTGATGCAGTTGTACTACGTACCTTAATATGCTGGAGGCATCCAAAGATCCAGGAATAGTAATAAGTTGCCAGTAAAAGACAAGGCCATCAATTGAAGAAAATAAATTATCTGTATCATCATAAGCGAAGACTTGAAGAACTTCTGGTGATTTTCCCAGTAAAAGTTCACGTGTTGTAGTTTGGATTTGAATACGATTTATTTTGCTGACGAATACATCAGCACGAATGACATTGAAAGTTACTGAAAGTAAAAAAAATCAGATAAAATCATGATCTTTGCTTAAATGTATTGAAGTGAAAGGGAGACACTCTTACAGCTGAAATTGCAGATATATCTTTTTAATACAAGATGTTTGTGCTTGTGTTACAATGAGAAATTACTCTTTCCTCATTAATACACAAACATTTAGACAATGACATACATCAAATTACAAGATTACAATTGGCATTTGCATTTTCTCTTGAAATTAAGGAGATTACACACACCAAATAAAATATTTAATATATAAGATATCGTTTTAGCTGAAAATAGCTAATTTTAGTGTCAAGTAAACACACATCTGTCACAGAGATCATTTATTACTAGACATGATCAAATTTCAATTTTATTAGAAAAATCCCTCATACAATGACACAAATAGTTTAAAATCATCAAGATTTGACAAACCTTTCTCTTCAGCAACAATTATTGCAGTTTGCTTTTCAGGTTTTGATGACTGTGATGTGACTATCGCCTTTTGACTACAGTCATTTTGACCTAATGACAAAAATAAATAATCTTTCTTTTTAGAAATCAATACTAGTCTTGCTGGACGTTATATTCATTATCATTCATGTACACATTCACACTGACTGTACACAGAATAATTTAAAGCATAATTTAGTGGGAAAAAAACAAAATTCACTTTTCTTTGGTGAAATACCAATAACAGGTCGAATTTCGGCAATCTTTGGTCTTGAAGAACTCCTAAAATCAAATCACATTATACGTTATAAGTCTTTCATGTTTCTTAATTCTAAGGAATTTTACCAGTACACAAATTGGGAATAATATCATCTTAATCAAAGCCGTTTTTTAAACCTTTCATCTTTCATAATATACATATAAACAAAGACTCAATAGAAAGTCATATATAAAATTAAACACGTGCAAATATGTTCATTTCAACGAACCACTTATAGCAACCACTCTGTGCCCAAACAGTAAAGTTGACGTTAGCTGAGCCTGCCGTAGAATAAGGAAGAAGGATGCTTAAAACATTCAAAGTATCAGGTTGTTTTTCACAGAAAAATAAATCAAATAATGAAAGAAAACATTTTAACAAAAGAATCTTCCTAAACCCCGCCATTTTTGGAGTTTAGACGAACGGTATGTTTCGTATTTCTAACATAAAGTCCTTCCTACAATAAATAAGAAGTAAAGTTACCCAAAAATGCAAATTATCTTTTTAGTAAGAAAATAAACACAATAATAACAATCCACTATTTTCAAAAAGCTTATATCCACTCTGCATGTGAAATTTATAAACAATTTTTATTGACGGTTGAAGTAGGGCTGTATTAAGAGGAGGGCGTCAAGGCAGTTGCCAGGAGCCCAGCGATTTTGAGGGCCCCGCGCAAAGCGAATAATTTCAAAGGAAATGTTGTATTTTTGTGGCAAGTGCAATGCAAACTTCATATTACAGAGAAAATTTCGAACGCTTGCTTGTGCTTCCATTAGATGTTAGACATAATAAACGTGCAGGTTGTTATTGAGGTGTTAAATATTTGTCATGGATAGCATTAATTATAGTGGAATTTGCGTAAATTGGCATTTTTGTTTTCACACATCAATGATTGGCATTTAAAAGCTTGGGGGACTAAAATTCCAGCCATTCATGCATTAATTTGTGACTTTTATTTCTATTTTTCATTTAAGACACGAAGGTGGTATTAAAAAATAATTTGAGAATAAATTTAACATATTGTACAAAATTCAAAAAAGTCTTTGTAAATAAACGTTTTTTTCTACTTTTTAAGACGTCGACCTTTATTATTGATACAGACCAGTGCTGACCAAGGCTAAATTTTTTAGAGGAAGGGGTGGGGGGTCTTGACGAGGCTGAAGCCATGTAAACATAAGTCACGTACGAAATGATCATATAGACGTTCACAACGTTTACTGAATTGACTAACAGATGTAAAATCATATAACTTACAAGTAATGATCACAATTATATTTGAAATAAGCTTACACACATTCCTACTGCACTATATAAGTGTGACAAAACTCGGCAGATTAAAAGCAAAAGGTCTGCAAGAAAATCAGTCAGTTTTTACAGTAACTTCTAATTTATAAATGATTCTCAAAAAGTAACAATACTATTATAAAATTATGTATAGTTGTATACTAAGTACTAAATACTCTTATTCTACAACTGGATTACTAGCATTCTTAAACAGCAATGAAAGTCTCCCAAATCAAGGCAACTAATAGTTAGATAATTCACCACTTACAGTAATTAGCAGCATTGATAAATTGTTTTGTCTTATTTTTCACTATCAATCGGTAAAACGTCGGATTATAATGTTTTACTTTAAAACATTTTAAAAGATTTCTTTCGTCACAGCATTAAATTTAAGCGCACATTTAAGAGTACTCTAACTTTAACATTTTTCTTTTCTTTAGTAAACTTTGCTCAGGTTGTCCCTGATGGAATGTTGGTGTTTTTTCCAACCTATACCTCGCTTGAGGTCGCTGTTCAAAACTGGAAGGTCCTGGATATCGCTTTTCATAAATCATATGATATTATTGATCACATCGTCTCATATACATTTTCTTTATCTATACCTTACAGACCAAAAGTAATTGGCCGAGACTTAAGCAACGTAAACCTATATTCATCGAACCTCGAAGGAATGTTGAGTTTGCGGAGGTGATAGATTTTTCATTCGTTCAGATCGTCTTCAGATGTGCTATAATATATTAATAATTAGTTCTAATATTGTATTTTCAGACTATGGATGGCTTTTATGAAAAAGTGAAAAGCACCGAGTTTAAAGGAGCGATGTTTTTGGCTTTATGTAGAGGAAAGGTATGAGAGGCGAATATTGTCCGATACATTGTTTTGGAGCACTAGTTTTCTTTATAAATATTATAGTCCACAGTTAATCTTGTAGTTTAGTTGATCGAACATTGAAGGCAATGATCAAGTTAATCCTGTAGTTTAGTTGATAGAACATTGAAGACAATGATTATCTTGTTACTATACCTGAGTACATCACAGCAACGTGATGTTATTATCTATGATATTAAAGTATGAAAGAAACTAGAACTGTGTTTTGAAAAGTCATCATAGTCCAATGTTGTTGTTATAGTTTAGTTGGTAGAACATTGAAGACAATGATTATCTTGTTGCTATACCTGAGTACATCACAACAACGTAATGTTAATATCTATGATATTAAGATATGAAAGAAACTAGAACAAATCACGGATATGGTAGATTTCAAATAAAATATCCCATTAAAGCATTGTTAGTTGAAATATAAATAGCAAGTATGATTCCTTTCTTTACTTCCCCATTGCAAACAAGACTTCGAACCTCACCCTCCCCTCCTTACCGATTGTTTTTTTTTGTTGTTGACTGACGTTCCGACAACCTTAGCGGTAGTCATCTTCAGAGTCAAATGAAGATGACTACCGCTAAGGTTGTCGAAACGTCAGTCAACAACAAAAATAGTCTTTCTCAGGACTATACTAACCTGGACGATCTACATTTACAAACATGTAACATTAAACATCTTTTGTTTCTTTTATAAAATAACAGTAATGAGAGACAGATGAATTAAAATAGATGTTTTATTAAACCTCTTATTTTATTATACGTCTTTAAAGCTAGTATCTTGTGTAATATCATCGCATTAAATGCTCGTTGCTGTGAATAACTTTGTTTGCAAGTACGTTACTACGTTACCGTTAGTCCGTCACTTTGTGGGGTCGCTTTATGAGTGACTACGAAGTTTCATCTTCCGCTAAAGTAGCTCATTGTGACTTAAACTATTTATATTTTTTCTAAACTTCAAGTGCTATTTTTAGTAGTGTTTTACTAAAACTGGAAATAGTTCCCTCAAAAGCAATTTTTTCCAGCCTTACAGCTGTACTAAAGATGACATCACACACAAGATGTTGAAATATTCGTTGTCATGTTTATTAAATGCGTATTAACGATTCGGCTTCTACGTGGGCAAAATTGCTTTATCTATGCTGTTGTATGATTTATATCATCTGTTTTTTGTAGCTATCAAGATCATACAGAAGAAAAGTTAAAGGAAAAGACTGAGGATGAAGCCAGTAAAGGAGATGACAAAGAATCCGATAGCAATGTGCTGGAAAGTAACGATGAAAGCTCTGTAAAGAAAACATTGTAAAAAATGTTTCTCACGTGGAATATTAAAGTCAGAAAATAATATGGCAAAATATAGAGTTTGAAATTTGAAGCGATATAATCTGTGTAATGCAAAAGTATTTTACCGTTGGGGGGGGGGGTAAGGTGAGGTGGGGGAAGGGCAGTCAGGCATTAAATAGTACTTAGTAATATGACCGATTTTCCAATTGGTCAATCAGACCATAGGCGTCTCTAAAAAATCATTTAGCTAGCTAAATAGATTAAACAAATACATTAAACTCTCCTCATTTCATCGTAACAGACCGCGCACCGCAAACTTCTGTTTCAATGTTACGGTCTGTTGCAATGAAATGGGAGAGAGTTATCGTTAATTATACAATTTAGCTATGTGATTTTTGGGCCACCTATGATCAGACCATACCGATAAACAACTATTTTCTCTTTGCATTTTCTTTGCTCTAGGAAGTATATGTATAGGGAGGGTAGCGAGTGGAAAAACAATGGAATTTTTGCCTTGTTGGATGAGGAAAATCCTTATTTTCAAAATCGTTCAACATTCGTGTAACGTCCAAGCGGCCATTTTGTTAGGATACTTTAAAGAACCGATGCTCAACAGAACCTTGAAATCAACATAACTTTTTCGCTGTATGTGTTTTCGAAAAATAAGTCAACCGATAAAAACATCTCATCCATGTCATGTGCGCAGCAAAATAGGTAGACACTAGACACTCAAATTGGGAATGAACTCAACTCTACCATGAAGTGAGATTTAATACGTTATTAATATCAACTGGTACGTATAAATTGTTATTCCTTTATAGTAAATTGTCATCCATTATATAAATTATTCTGAAGGTCGTATACTGATAGAATGTTTCAACAGGATTGAAGGAAATGGGGAAAGACTTATCGACCAGTTTTCTGGTTATTTTACAATTTAATTGTGTTTAAGTATAGCCCTGGAAGGAAACATAGCCCATTGTGTTTAAACATAGCCCTGGAAGGAAATATGATGAAAAAGTTTATCAGTTTCAAAATATCAAATCAGTTTCACAAAAATTCGACACGAAACTTCTACATGCGGTTAGAAAAGATACAAAACTAATCAAACAGTGCACGAAACCTACAAAACACTGAAGGATAATTTTAACAAGAAAGGTTTACAGCCTGATGATAAAAAAATCCATAAAACGGTAAGCACGATTCAGACTTGGAAAGTTGTTTCAACAGTTATTGCTGAAAGTATCATTCCTGTGTGTACGATCCGTTCCATACGTTTATCATAAGTGCACTTGTTCTTTCATGAAACAGTTCAAGCTAAGCCTAGAGAAAACAAGATATCATGGAATATAACATGAGCAACAACATACAAAGAACACATGTTTGAGATCTACAAACTAAAAAAAATATCGTAAAAGAACATAAACTGGTGACAACACAAAAACGAAAAGAGAAAAAAAGCTCTAGAAAAACGTATGAACGAACGAAACATATTGATTGAAAAAACAAAATGAAATAATAAAGAAAGTTAGAATACTGCTGGATAACTGTGGATGGCTTGCTATGGGTAACTAGGGACACTGTAAAGCAAGAGTAGACTGTTCGACTAATGTCAGTGTACTGTTTGGTTTTGTTACATACATATCATAAACTTAAACTTAAAAAGAAGGGAAATAACATTAAAAAAGAGCACATAATGAAATAACAGACAACAAGATATTTTGCTAAGAAAATATGATTGGTTTTCATTGTAATAATTTGTCACATGAAAGGACGTTAATCATGCTATCTTTCTGCAAGTACGTATTAATTTCTTTTACATATGAAAAGAAGAAAACTACAAAGTAAATGACAGGTAGGTTTTTACTTGCTGTTTTTTGTAAAAAATTTAATATTTTAATGCAAATACATATGAAAAGAGCAGGTATACCTGTTCGTACGTGAACTGGTGTGTAAACCATAAACTATACCCAATGTTGCGTATACTTTTTATTTCGTTTCCATCGTAGAAATGCGCAGAATACTCTTATTTTATGAATCTGACGATGAAATGTTTGACATATAAATCAATGTTACATGCGGTAAATGAATAATGGTTATTGGATTATTTAAAGATATTTTCTAATAAAATATTAAAGAATCTTACGTAGATATAACATGAAATACATAATGAAGAGACATTCACTTGAATAACACCATGCACTAACTACAACCTTGACTCGTTTACAAAAAATGACAAGAAAAGTTAGTGAAAATTATAACAAAGTTGCAAAGTTAAACTATCGTGGATACATCGCACAGTTTGTTATTTTTTCTAGTTCTACGATCTCTCGACATTGCTACAACTATAGCAGTTCTCGTAAACGCTTGGTCAAATAATGATGACTGGAAAAACATCGATAGTACTTACACAAACAAATCTATTGGAGAGGGAAGAGTGGATTGCTCAATCAACCTAAAAAAGTTTGTCAAGACCTTAAAGATTGGAAAGAACATGGTATCGATGTAAGTATTTCAAACTATAAACTGATTCTCTATTTTACCGTAATATTTGATGTAACGTCTGTCATTATCTTCTTAACACGTCTCGCATTTTGGTCACAGACCTTACGTACAATATCAAAAGATGAAAAAGAAAAAAATTATACAGACGACAACATCGTTACAAGATTAACAAAAAACATTAAAATAGCTTTACTAACACCTATTGTTCGTGCTGTACCATTATCTTGTTTAAACACAGAACTTCTTGCTTTACGTTCCGGACATAATGGTCTCGTATGTATGGCGTGTATACTTGGAGAAAGATGTTTGTTTAAGCAACAATATGAAGCCATATCATAGCTGCTGCTTGTCCAAATAATTTCAAGTGACGTAAATTTATCAAACAAACGATTTTTATTGTCTCTCAATGAAATACGAAGTTTCAGATCTTGAGGACTTCGTACGTGGAACTAAATATAATAAAGATGGTGATTGTAGATACATGAATAATGAATTCAATAATAGAACATGCAGTAAATAGATAAAGCTGCGGTATAGTCAATACATTGCAAACATATTTGTATTTTATTAAATCTATATTTGACACATCCTTAACATGACAATTTTCGTTCTACCATAATTTCTAATTAGAAGCAATTTTAAAAAACACTTGAGAAAAACGACGATTTATTTGAGAGCAAACATGTTTCGACATTATCAGAATGCCAGGTGTAAATGTAGATGTGCATGTACATGTACATGTAGATGTAGATGTGAACGTTAAACGCGAGATGGAAGTGGAAGCTGTTACAATGGAGACGAAAATCGACAAGGTTAGAAAAACATATGATTCTGAAATAAAAGAAATTCAGAAGAATCATAAGAAGGAAATTGGTAAGGTAAAAATGGATACTCAATAAATTTTAAGTCTACGTACGTATGACGTTGATCAAACTAAACAGCGTCGATTACTCATCATTTGATTCCAATTTTTTGTTCATTTTTTTCATGAAAAAATAAACAAATAATTATTTCTTCTAGATGCGCAAAGATTTTCAGGAAATAGTGAAGCTAAAAAACTCTTTGAAAGAGGAAAATGTTTGGTTTAAAAGCGAAAAGAAGAGATGGATGGTAGGATTAAGAAATTACGAGAAAAATTAAAACAAACAAAACATCAACTGGATGAGTGTGTCAAACGAGAAAATGATAAAGAAGTAGAGTTGGAAGTTGCCCATAATAAGATTGAAGTAAGAGTAAGTTTTTGTAACTTTGTGTATATGTGACACGTTTTTACGGTAAACAATCTATCACGTGTTGTATTCAATCCATCACGTGATGTATTAATCTATCACGGGGTGTATTCAATCTATCATGTGGTGTACTCAAAGATCCATTAAACTTTATCATATTCAAAGTTTTTTTATTGAAATTGTCTGATTCAAAATCGTTTCATTTCAGTCAATGAATCGTGAACGACATTAGACAACTTGAAAATTGAATACAATCAGAACAATATTGAACGGGTCCGGTTTGTTGCTTAACTTTTAACCCATTTTCCATCAAATTTTTACTTCTTTATCTTCTCTTTTATCCCATATCTTCCTAGGCTCGTTCATTACAGGATTTCATTTCACAATTAACAGAACTTCAGGAGCAATTTCAAACATTAGCGCAAGCTCAACATGAGACAAAATTACTTTGCAAGTAAAGTTCTATAAATTTACATATCCAAAAGTCACCCTGTTTCATATGGTGGACTTTATATAATCCATGTGGTAAACCGTATTGTCCATTTAGTGAACCATATCATTCATTTAGTCTTAGTGAACCATATTATACATGTATTGAACCGTATAATCTATCAAGTGAGCCGTCTTGTTATCCATGTAGCAAACCGTATTATCCATGTAGTGAACCGTATTATCCATATAGTCAACCGTGTTATCCATATAGTCAACCGTGTTATCCACATAGTCAACCATGTTATCCATGTAGTGAACTATATTATCCATACAGTCAACCGTGTTATCCATGTAGTGAACCATATCCATACTGTCAACCTTGTTATCCATACAGTCAACCGTCTTATCCATGTAGTGATCCGTAATATCCATATAGTCAACCGTATTATCCATGTCGTGAACCATATTATCTATATAGTCAACCGTGTTATCCATGCAGTAAATTGAATTATCCTAATCATAAAACAAATTTCTACATCGTCAAGGCAAAAGGATGAGAAGATCAAAAAAGAAAAACAGCGTCGAATAGAAACTGAATTGATTTGTGAAGTGAGATAGTTGTTATTATAATATTATCTATTTCAAGAAATACAGCATTGATTTCATAGTTTTTTCTTCTATTTTTTAGTTTCTTGTGAATTGTTGCTTTTCATCGATTTTGTTATTCGAATTTTTCGAAATTGAAATCTCGTGAAAAACATCTTAAAGTGAAAAACGATGTGACGGAAGTGATGTGCCGATGTGATTTGCTTCATTGTAAATGAAGCACATCAGGTCAACTATATTCAAACTTTCTCAACAGCAAAATTCAAAAGAGACGCAAAAACACGAGATTAAAGTATTCAATAGCAATCTATAATAAACGTATGAAAAAAAATTTTCGTTGCCAATGTCCTTTAATATAAATGATTGGAGTGACAGAAACACCAACTTCAAGGAAACGTTGTGATGAAAGAAAAAGAAATGCAAGAAGTATGTATTTTGAATGATTTTGGTTTTTTGAAATGCATAATTGCTTTTCTCTGTTAGGAACTTACGACGAAACATTGAAACATTACATTGGGGCGGTCACCTGTAAATCTGGTCGTGCTATGCAACTTGCTCGTCATATCGCAGTGTCAGGGTTTTTGAAGTGAATGGCAACACACAGACTCATGTTGCTACTTTACGAGGGTAAGGAGATATGTACATGTGAGACCTTGTTTGATGACTTAATGCAGTGTGCGAAATAACGGTGTGCAATGTGTAATTTGCACATCGTTTTAGCTAAATTGAAAACAATTGCACATCACTTTTTCAAACGATGTGCAAAAATCGGCGGTTTTAACAAAAAACACTGTCGTAAATCATATGTTACGAGAATATCTTCGTGAAAGAAGACTTGACCGAAACGGAGAGACCATTCCAATAGAAGGAGAAGAAAAGTTGTGCTTTAGGGATTTCGTCTCCTTCAGTTATCAAATTGCTCGTGGAATGGAATATTTGTCAGGAAGAAAGGTGGCTTTAGATTGAACTATATCACTGTACAGCTATATAAGCATTGGTGTGATGATTTACCCTTACACCACCAATAATTTTGTAGTGTATTCATCGCGATCTTGCTGCCAGGAATATTTTAGTTGGTGAAGATAGAGTAATGAAAATTGCAGACTTTGGTTTAGCTCGCGACATTCATCAGATTGACTATTACGGCAAAACAACTGACGTATGTATTCTGTGAAATTGTGCCATTAATCCTGATAAATAATTTTTAAGAATATGAAAACATTTTTTGTCTTTATGGATTTTATTGTTTTCGTAAAGAAACTTCCTTGTATATGTATATTATAGTAAATTTTCTATTTTTGTGCCTGAACTTCGAGTGGAAATATTTTTGTTTGATATCATTGTATTATAAGACATTTATAATTACTTTGAACTTCACACTTTTTGTACTGCAGAGGAATTTCTTGTAAGTTATTTCTTAAAGTTTTCACACGGAATATCAATGAATGGAAAATGGCGATTTTGATGGAATAAAAGTGTAGGGTAAGGCAGCGTGCTAAAACGTTTATGCATGTTTTACAACAGTGGAATGAACATGAGCGAAAAGACTTTAGTTACTCTTACTAAAATGTTTACAAGAACAAAGACATCGTGGAATTTTTATTCAATTCTTCATTTGTTCTTCTTTGAGTTAAATATTTTTTTAAGTTTACGTTTATGCGGATGCTTATGTCATGTCCTTTAGAAATCAGCCAATAGTGAAATATTAATGCCTGATGATATTGTTGTGCAGATTTCACTGTTACAATTTACGTTAAATTTCCAAAAACAATAACTTGAATGCTAGTTGCAACATACATATATAGTTTATAACCAAATGAAATGAGATTCACTTTCTCACGTAGAAATTGACGTATGAAAAATATCTGTAGTCGCAGCCTAATGACATAGCATGAGAAAATACAACAATAGATTAAATGCTAAATATATGTTCTACTTCATAGATCATACACTCATGCTTTGGCGAACGAGCTTACAGTTCACCGTTTTCAAATTATTTCTGTATGAACACATGAACACTGTTAAAAGTAGATACCTTGTTCTAGCTGCGTGTGCGGAAGCTATGGTGTTGCGAAAAGTAATATTTCACGGAATTCAAAAATACGAGTTTGTCGATATTTACAACTTGCCGGCAGGATTGAGAAATTTTTTCATGTACTTTATTAATAAGTAATAGCATGGTTTCTCGTGCAATTTGGGAAAAACAGGCACTCGTCCTTCAGACTTGTGCAATTTCGATAGTCTTTGAAAAACTCACTCGTGCATGTTTTCCCCGAATTGCACTCGAAATCATGCTATGATATATACGAATCATACCTGAGTGGCAAATCGAAGTGAACATAGGGTTTCCTGGAAAGAGTCCTCGCGAGGAGAAACATTCACGAACATCAAACTGAAATATGAATGTATTATTTACATACACTAATTATCACAACTAACACATGTTAATACTTCATGTCATCTACAATGACGTGTGTACATTGATGAAAATCTGATACACATATATTCAGTAATACCAACCTTTTACTGTTACCACCAAGAGAGTTTTGCAACAAATGAGTTAATTTCGAGGTTCTATAAGGCACGTGACTAGCCTAAAATGTATTATAATTTATTTGACTATCATCTCTCTACACAGTATAGCTACGTATGATTGAGTAAATTTAAAAACAGACGCAAACATTTATTTTCTGGAATAAATAATCTAAACATGCAAATTTTTATTGTTGGAATTTCAAAGAACGGTCTATTGTTGCAGATGTATGCATTTTTCTTATATTTATGTAATGTTTAAAATCGCATTGTGCACAGCGTTAATCAATAAAATACAAAAATCATATCTCCTGTCAATGAATTCAAGTTCATCCATCATAAGGTAAGTATATGCTTACCTTCTTAGCCAAGAAGTTGAAGACTATACCCAAATGTGTGAGGCTCTAGTTTATGTGATTAGCTTCCTTAAGTCTTAATCCTGTTGATCTGGATTGACTTATTCTTTCAGAACCCGCCAGATCAACCAAACTCAATACCCCTGAAAAAATTTAGCTCATCGTCATCGCAAAACAATAGATAACAATTTTGCAGATTCTTTTGCTACTGAATATATAATAAATATCGAGGAGACATTTACAGCCACGGCGCCAAAGAGAGTGGGGACTAGAGCACACACACCCACTTTTCCCCAGATAAAGTTTTTGCTAACATTTATACATTTTAGCTAAATTAAAGGCAAGGTAAGACGTAGTATATTTAGTTAATATATGTCTTAAGCCTGTTTTCCAATAGCCACGTATCGTAACGTATCGTAGCAAAACGTAACAGGGCGCATGCTATGATAGGTTACGACACGTGCCTAGTGGAAAACAGGCTTTCCAACCCTCCAGATTTGATTTCGCTGCGCAGTCCCTGTTTTACCGCGTGGAAACGTGTTAAAGCAAAATAAAAGCTGGACTAATCATATAGAACTAAGTCGATAGTCAACATCCATATTCTAATATGACGAACTATTTCAAAAATTCTTAAACTGAAAACAAAACATAAATATGCATAATCCTGCCTTGACTTAGTTCCCCAGTAATCTCATTACTCCCGACGAGTTTTAGTTGAAAGACAGAGTGACTTCTCGACGAGCGATCGTTACAGTTTGTATCTGCCACAGAACGATTTTCGTAAGCCTTTCGTAGTAAACTTGACACCTGGAGTATGAAAATTTTAAAATATAGATAAAAAATAACAAAAAACAAGAAGAATAAGTGAGTGAGACCACACTCGTTGTAATCATGTTTTTTAAAGAGTAAATATGCCATGACAAGCTCACTTACCTAAAAATGACGCACGTAACAAAATAATAGGGAGCTTTAGCACAGACTACGAGTACGACTTACGTCATTTTGGCGCGAAAACATTGTTGCGACAACAAAAACACGTAGCCGTAGCCGTACTCGTGCTAAAGCTCCCTAATATAATATTTAGATGACAAGTGAATGTAAAGCATTTTATTAATTACAAACATGCTACAACACAGCAGTGTATTGTACGCAACGTAGAAGATTATAACGCAAATTAGAAGGAATTCTACGAGTCAACAGTTACAAATGGAAGTTGTACAAGATACAGCACTGTGCATGCGCAAACCAGTGTTAAAGAGCGAATGTAACTGTTTAATGTTGAGAAATTGGACGAGCATGGGCGTAGAAAGATTGTTAACTGGGGGGAGGAGGCTCGTATTCATATATTCATGATATGTAGAGTTAAGTTCTTTTGAAAGATAGTACTTTGTATAGCAGTATTGGGAAAAGAAGAGAATTTTGGAAGAGAAAACTAGCAACCGGTTTTACAAGCTTTGTACAATTTGCATTTGAAGCCTTTCCGAAAAACCCCTCAAAAGCATGTTCTTTGGCAAATGATTTACTGGAGCAAATATATTGCCTTCCTAAAAATTCAACTTTTCCACTTTGCTATTCTACCTATTCAAATAGAAGAACAGTTGTCACAGATTCTTTTAAGGGGATACACTGGCTGTTTGTATAAATCAACTCGAAAAAGCATTTCATGTGGCTTGCTTGTAATTTCTATGAACAATTTTAGTTTTCTCATCTGATATGCGTGTTTTGGATGATCAGAAGGGGCCCGAGAGTCAACTATAAGTTTGTAAATGATGATCGTCCAGGTTAATAAAGTCCTGAGAAGGACTGTTTTTGTTGTTGTTGACTGATGTTTCGACAACCTTAGCGGTAGTCATCTTCAGAGTCAAAAGAGGAGTAAACGTCAGGTTAGCCGTATTTGTTGTCTGGTTCTTACGTCAGTGTATTGTGTGTGCAGGAAATGGGTATTGTCATTGTGGATTAGTGTGAAGTGAAATATTTTATTTTTAGTTGTGATGTGTGATATAGGTGTGACGTTTTTAGTTGTAATGTGTGGGTGTCAATTGTGTATTGTCATTGTGAATTAGTTTGAAGTGTGATGTTTTTTAGTTGATCGTTTGTTTGTATTGTGAATAAGTCGTTTGTAAGGTGCCAGTAATTGCTGTGATCTGTTCAGGGGGGTTTGTTTCTAGTTGGTGTACCAACTTTCTAATGTAAGCCGTTGTCTATAGTCAGTACTGTAAGTGATGCATTTTGCCGAGTCCCAGTCAATGTTGTGCTTTGTCATTCGGTGATGTTCGGCAATGTGATTAGTTTTGTCGTGTTTCTTAGTAGCTCGTTTGTGCTCAGTAAGTCTTATGTTTAAGTTCCTGCCAGTTTCCCCGATATAGGAGGCGTGGTAGTCGGAGCAGTTTATTTTGTAATCTGCACCTTGTCGTTCGTTGGGTTGTTCTTTGTCCTTTATGTTCGTTAGTACTTGTCGTAACGTTGTGATTGGTTTATGTGCGACACGTATGTTGTATGGTCGTAAGATACGCGAGATATTATCAGACGTACCTTTGATGTAAGGTATCGTTGCTGTTGTCACTGAGTTGTTCGTTTCGTTGGGTTCGTTGGGTTTGTACGTGTTGCGCTTGATAAAGTCAGAGTTATAGTTGTTTTTGTCGAAAACACGTTTGAGATAGTTGTTTTCGTATTGTAAAGCGTCCTGTGAATCACATATGATTTGTGCACTTAGTGCGGCTGATGTTACCGCTCAACCGCTCAACTGCAGCTCGTAATCATTGCCACAGGCGTTTTCAGCTGAGCTCACGATTCTATGCGAGGAAAGCAAGCTCTTTTACGATTTGGCATTTCAATAAAAACCACGAGTTTTTTTTAATTCATTACAACACAACAAAAATACAATAATGTACACCTTCTGTCGTTCTTAACTATGACTATTTGATAGAGTTCTGTACTATTACGGTGTTAAACCTTGACTGGTTTGCAACTTTTGTTCTGGATAGAATGTGATGGGAAATCTCATGCTATAGGGAGAAGGCACCTCGATATTAACCCCTATATAAATTTCCCGCCAGTGGTTGTTGTCAGTAAATTTCAAATATACCTGCTCGTATCTGCGCGCATAATTCATTTCGGTCGCCCATATGTTTTCATCCAGCGTATCTCTTCTTTCATGGAGTTTTTCTAAAATTCTCCTTTGCTCGTAAGCTTTATATTTCATGCTTTATATTTCATAACGCATGAAATATAAAGCTGACGAGCAAAGAAGAATATTCTTCTTCACGCTTCAACTCTACTTCTGTTGATTTTAATCTTTACATAATTGAGGTAACATAAAAAATGAAAATATCACGATTATTTGAAGTAAAATTCATGATGAAATCCCGTAACAGTCAAAATGAAACATGCTCATAATTACTTTCTCCTCAAAGTAAACTTCGGTCAGTCGATATATTTTGTCAGAAGAAAATAAGTACTATACCCTACCCTTAGCGTTCGCATAATTTACAAATGGACTTATACATGGACGCTAATATAGCGGGGGAGGGGGGGAGGCAGAAGTATTGCATGGACTATATTATACGTACGTACGTACTGAAGTGATCTATAAACATTACCCAAGTAAATGGGCTTATCTAAGGGTCAGCGTATAAGCGGTAGGGTTTTTCTGTGAAAGTGAGTTGAGTTTCACGATTGGGGTGACCTAACTGGACATACTCAGGATAGGGCTTGTACATTGGAGGGGTAGTTCACCCTACGCAAGTGTAAGAGGATGCCTCAAGACACCACACTGCACTTACTGAGATCATTCAATTCTTCTTCGTTCTGAATTTTTCTTTCCTCAAGTTTGAGACGATGCTTCTCGAGATCAGTGATGTAGGTGTAGAATTTAGTCCTAAGAATCGACAACATCCCCAGTACATGTTTCCACAAATTAATACAACGTACATGGTGGAAGCAACATCACGGTAAATCTTCTCTTACTTGTCGAGCTCTAGTGTTCTCTTTTGTTCCACTAATGCTTCAAGCTTTGACTAGGTTAAGTATGAATATGTTAAGACTGTTAGCTACACATCTATCAACTGTGAAAAGATGGAGATAAAGGGAGGTAAAAGGGGAGGGTAATTTCAAAGATAATATGAAATACAAAAGTATGTATTTATAAAAGTGGGCGACCACAACCCACCCCTACCAAAAAGGATGAATGACAAATTTCAAACACGTAGCTCACTTTAACAAGATGCACCTTTAAAGGGATGAACGTGTATGGGAACATTTGTGGAAAATCCTTTAAATTAATTTTGCACAAATGAAGCTCCGTGCAAGAAAAATCACAGTACGATTTTTGGCCAAATAATCTGAATGAAAATCGGAAAACCGAGCCATTCCTAGGATCGAGCCAAATTATGTCATAAATTATGTCACAGTAATTTTTCACAGTGATGGAGCTTCACCAGTGGCCAAAGTTTTGGCTCTGAACAATTTATATGAGCGATTTTCCAAAATGTTCACACATGTACGTAAAAGTACCCAACCGTTTGCGATTATTTTGCTCACACTCACATTTAGAAATAAGCAATTTGAAGTTCTCAAAATTTCACGACACAATATCTTTCCTACCGGTTCACTTTCAAGTCTCGCCAGTTCTTCCTCCAGTAGCTTGTTTTCGTGACTCAGCTCTTCGTTTTCTGGAATATGAAAATCATAAAATTGTACATTACAAAGTGACGATGCACATAATTTTTCAACAATACACATTTACCAGCAATAAGTGGAGCATTCTTGTTTCCTACATTAATAGAAACAGATACATGCATAAATCTTGTAGGTCACTACCAAAGGTTACAGGAATTGATGCAATGACAACTTCACTCACTCAGTTCTTCATATAGTGCTTCTGTGTACTCATCCAGATTATCTAAGTCTTGACCGTAAATAAACGCTTCGTACGCTTTCTCAAGGTAATCAAAATACAACTGGGGTAACAAGACAAAGGTGTACATAGTGAGACATTAACAGTGGCAGAAACATCTGCTGAATACAGAGATGGATCTGGAATGATTTAGTAGTGGTTGTTTTGGTTTAGATTAGATTTTCTGAAGATACTTTGCAGGTTTTGCCCTATCATGTCAAACATTTACATTTCGCTTAATTGCTTGGTATATTAATACAATTCATTGGAAAATCAAGCATAAACATCCCATATATCTATGACTGTCACAGCCATATTAGACTAGGTACATTTGAAACACATGTTATCACATGTTATGGCATTCAGACTGCAAAGACATTTTGATAGAGATAAGAACTTACCTTGTCCTCATCATTCATGGGAAACAGACATTCGTCGATGGTGTCATTAACATTTTGAGCCAACTGAAAAAAAAAGAAGGAAAGGAAATCACGCTTTAAAATGTTTGGGCAAACTCATCAATCTTCAATTTCAATTTGTACAAAATTCAACCTTGACAAGTTCCATAAGCCAGTGAAGTGCACCAAGGAGCACTGGCCATGTGTGAGGTGAGCCAACATTGGATAATGATGTTTTATGAATGGTGAAGGGGTAAGCAAGACTCTTGAAGATTTTCGGTACTTCCTCTTCTGGTTTTTCTTTTAGTTTTTTATTTGTGTCCGTTGGACTGATATGGCTATAAAGGAACTGTAAAATACAACTGCAAAGTAAATTGCAAAGTTCATAGAGATTTCAGGCTCGGTAGGTCACAAACATTGTGTGAATTATGTTATACATTGATTACTAGAATGCATATTGGAATATTTGTCATATGATAGCAATATGATGTTTTATATCAATGCTGCATCATATTAATGCTGTATTTGTTTCGATTGTTGGTCTGGGTTATGGCAGATAATGCACTGCGTGCAGAATTTATAGCAGAGTAAGATAGCCCTGAATGAAAAGGTTAGTTAAAATTGAATGATTGTGGTAATAGAGGGATTAAAAAATTCACATTTTGTAGCAACACAAAATTGACTCCATTTAGTTATATAAGTTTGGTATTGGGTTTTTGTTCCCTTTCTCCAAGAGGCCATGATTATCTCTGCTGAACTTGGAGAGACACCTATTGATGTAAGTTGTTGCCTGACACAAGACATATTTTCAACTCTAGCTTTTTTACTAGTGGATGCACTTCTGTTGGTGCAGCTGGTAGTTTGAGCAGGTTTTGCGACGGTGGACAAACATGAGGAGGTTGTAAAAGTATTGGTTCGATTAGGGGATACCAAGGTTGTGTTGGCCAATTTGGTATTACCAAAATGCCAGTGGCTTTTCCTGTAGAATTTTTGAACAGTTTGTAAGATGCAGCTGAAAGGAGGAAACAATAAAAGTTTAAGTTTTTCCACGGGATGGAGAAGCATCAATATATGTTGCCTCAGGGTCTGGTCGATAAGAGCAGTATTGATTAAACTGTTTGTTTAGTCGTGAAGCGAATAAGTCAATTTCAGGCTGGAAATTAAACTTGCTCATGGCAATCTTGATACAAACGGGATTTAACCTCCATTCACCTTCACGGTACAATTTTCTTGACTCTTTATCCGCAATTACATTTTTTGACCCTGGTAAATGTGCGGCAGATATTTTGATTTTGTGTATTATGCAAAATTCCCAGATTTCTAATGCTGTAGTATTTAACATGACACTATGACTAGTGCCCATATTGTTTATGACAAACACTGTAGTACTATTGTCTACCATCTGGTATAGATAGAATGTATTTAAAAGAGTCCTTTAAATTTTTTAGCCACCATTTCAACTCTGCTTTGGATTCATCGGAAATAATCACAAACGATTCAAAATTGCCTTTGTTTTGTGATAATGCTAAAGTTTTATCTTTCTCAAGCTTGATAGTAAAGCGGTCCAAATTCCACTGCTGGAAGTCTTGATACTATATGGCCAATTAACTGAGCCACCTTTCTAATCCGAACTTTAGCGGGCGCTAGAATTGCTTTAATAAGGGAGAGCAATTTTTCTTTTTTACTATTGGTAAGTTGAATTGTCATGGTTCGTGAATTTATTAAAAAACCAAGAAAAGTTATTTCTTGTACTGGAATAAATGCAGATTTCAATGGGTGAATGACAAAACCGAGCTTCTCTAATAAAATTAAGGTTTGTATAATTGTGTCAAGGCACTTTTCATAGGAACAGCCTACCAGGAGTAAATCATCGATGTATATAATGACAATGTGACCTATTACACGTAATGTGGCCAGAACTGGTTTAAGTAGCTTAGTAAATTTCCTCGGGCAAGAGGAGAGGCCATTAGGAAATGCTGTATATTGGTAAAATTTTCCTTTGTAAAGGAATTTTAAGAACTTTTGAGATTCTGGATGGACAGGTACGCTATAGTAGGCATCCTTTAAATCTAAAGAGGCCATCCAGCAATCTTTTGTGATAAGTTTAAGTACAGTGTGGATATTTTCCATCTTAAAATGAAAGTTTTCGACCGATTCATTTAGTTTCTTTAAATTTAAAATCAGGCGGACACCACCATCCTTTTTAGGAGTGGTAAAGATAGGTGATACAAATTCAGTAGAATCAAATTTACTAGGAATAATTACTCCTTTATCTCTCAATGCCTGAATAGCTTCATCGATTTCGCTTCTTCCTTGTTTAGGAAGAGAGTGAGGAGGAGACTGGTGCTGAACTGGTTTAAAACCTTTAAAAGAAATTTTTGCCCCTGAAACCATCTCAAGAATATCGGGGTCTGTAGTAAGCTTTGCCCATTCATTGTGGCATAGTTTAATTGGACCAGCCTGAAATGAATTAACTTTTCTGGTAAAATAAGGTTTAAGTACATGCTCAACAAATTCTGAAAATTGTGTTACCTGATTTTTTAATAACTCTAGTTCTTTGTGAATGTTTGGGGTTTTCTGGGAGGGAACTGTGCCCTCCCTTGTTGGTATAAAAAAGGCTTGCGTGCCTGTGATTGGGTTGATGAAAACCGTTTTGTAAAAATAGTTTGTGCCCGTTGGCCTGGATTGGGTATAAGATTCATTACTCTCATTCCCCAAACAAAAGAGGGCCCACTTTGCGAGTCCTTGCACAGAGCGGTTTAAAATCAGGATGAAGTATGGGCCGAATTGCCTCTTTGCGCTTGTATGAAAGTTCTTTGCATACATGGCCAAATAAAGCAGTTACATCAAGCAGTGTTGGTATAAGAGCTCTATAATTTGGAATTGTCTTATTTTCCCTGCATTGTAAAAGGTTGTCAATGCTACAAGCAAGCCCTGATAAACCTTTGATGGTGGAATCTTGTAGATTCGCCATTTTGATATCCCCTTTTTTAGTAAATGGCTTCATTTTTTGCCATATTTCTTGATTTATTCTCGGCACATACATTTGCTCGCAATTTTTTGGTCGAGGTACTTATTAAGAATTTCTTTTAATTTGGTAACGTCAAAATTTTCGCTAAGCTTGGCGTTTATGATTTTTGCCAATTTTTCTGAAATGGGGGGCCCGGTTTGCTCCTTAGAAGATAGTGTTTGAGCAATTTCAGAAATAAGATCATCGTTATCGACCGTGTTTTCAATTTCTGAATCAATTTCTGGTCCTCCGAATAAACTCAAAGTATCGTCTGATTCATGCACAATCTCAGAGTTTCCCTCAGTACTTTCAGACTCAGGACTTTGCTGGTCAAATGAGCGGTCATTGCCGTCAGAATTGTGCCCAGACTTTGTGGCAATTTTTGCCCTCTTTGGGGCCGAGTGCTCATGCTGTTCGCCTTGTTCGGCTTCGTCTATTATCAATAATTCATTGTTTTCAATAGACGCACGTGGTCGCTTTTTTGGCGGCATTATGCTCGTCAAATATACCTTTCAGATATTTATTCGTTTCTGACATGTTAGCCTCCATAGCCGAAAGCAATGAGTATAAACGTGAGTCACCGCTAGTGGGAGCACTATCAGGCCGTTGCGGCGCGCTGATTTCATAAAATTCAGACACGGCGTGCTCGTCATCGGTTAATGATTCGGATGACATACTTTAATTGTTTCTATATAAATGGGGCAAAAGTTATGAACAATAACGTAAGGAAAACGATAAACTTATCTGTAATTAGCGATTGTATCCTTTTTAGAAGATCCTGTGAGAAATTGTATTATGGATGGGAAGGATTATAATGAATAAATATCCTTCCTAAATTTTTCCGTAGCTTCGCTTGCGACAAGACGTACACAACTGGCTAACTTGCGCATGCGTATGTTCTCTCTCGTACAACTCTGACACGACCATAGCTGATGACGTAGTAGAATCATTACAACACAACAAAATACAACGCATGCGTCGATTGGTTTGCTTAAGTTTCATTAGGAGCTTCAGCAAAGAGTACGAATTACGTCATTTTGGCGCGAAAACATTGTGACATCAACAACTCGTAGCCGTCATCAATCTGAGTACGATATCTATGATGTCTTTTAAAGAAACGAAAGTAGGTATATTTATTTATTGTGCAAGAACTTAGTTTACAATACTTTTTTTGACCTTCCAAGCTTTATTTCAGTATCTTTTATGAACGCAGGTTTACAATAAAAACGAAAATACGACCTGCAAAACTTCCATGTATCTGGGACGCAAAGTGAATTATAAAAAGACAATAAAGTAATGCAAATATACAATCTATAAAAGGTAGAATAATGAAGATTTTTCTCTCTAAACAGTCCTATACCCACGCTAAATCAGTATTACGAATTCATCGATATTATTATTAACAAATAGAGCCGTAGCTGCTTCTCAAAATGCGGTGTTTTTCACAGGAAAAAGCTCGTTTTGTTGTTTACGGCTAAAACAACCATTTGACGACGCGACAACGATCACGAACTTCCTCGTGCCATTCCCTTACACGGTCAAACTTCGTACACGTAGTCGTACTCTTGCTCAAGCTCGCTATTAAGTTGAAGATTTTAAGTTTCAGTTGAGCAAATTAAGTTTTCATTAGTCTGTGCAAACCAATCTGTGATCAATCAATTAAATCAATTAAAGAGAATGTTGCAAATCGATCATGAATACATTAATGAGGGAGGGGTGTGGGGTTAAGACATTTCCTTGAAATTTTGTTTGGCATTATTGTTATTTTATAAAAGAAAAGAATTTTTCCGTGTTTACACAGGTTTATGCAAACCACAGAGACGTTTGTAAAAACTCTCGAGCAGGCTCAAACACGGCAAATATCTTTTATTATAAATAGAGGTGAAAAAAAAACATTACCTCTATTATAGTCTTGTGTTTCAGAACACGCTCACACCCATTACGTAAAAATGATTTTAAAGATTCTTCTTCACGCTTCAACTCTACTTCTGTTGATTTTAATCTTTACATAATTGAGGTAACATAAAAAATGAAAATATCACGATTATTTGAAGTAAAATTCATGATGAAATCCCGTAACAGTCAAAATAAAACATGCTCATAATTACTTTCTCCTCAAAATACCTTTCTTTGGCATCCTCGAGTTTCTTTCGTTTTCCCGACATTTCAGTTTGATTATCCAATCTCAATCGATCTATCAGATTACGCTGATCTTCAATTCCGTCGGACAAAATTTTTAATTCTTCGTCGTTTCGCATTCAATCCAGCAAATAGCGTAATGTATAGTTGGGAGTCATCCGCATAGAAGTGATAAGTCAACCCATAGCTCTTGATGATGTCAGCTACCGGGGACGTATACAAGACATACAAAATCGGACCAAGCACCGATCCTTGAGGCACTCCAACGTTTTGATCCCAAACAGAAGAAACGGCATTATTGATTGCAACAAACTGTTTCCTATTAGTCAGATATGATTTGAACCACTTCAATGCCATTCCCTTGATTCTAAAGCTCTCAGACAGTCTTGACAGCAAGATCTTGTCATTTACTGTATCAAACGCCGCAGACATGTCCAAGAATACCAAGACCAC